TTTGGAAGCTTTCCAGTCACATCTTTCTGTATATGCTATCAGATATATATTTTATAAGCTCCTTTTCTCGGTTAGAACACTGCTGTTCCAAGCTTATTCCATTAATACTTCATGTGAAAATAAACCTCTCTCCACATTTCAAGAAAACAACAGTTCCCTGGCAACAATTAGTGGAAACTGTTGTCATTGGTATTTTACTTTGATTGAAGAATTGAAAAGGGGGGGAGGGGACCCTCAATTCTCCTTCTCAGGCTTCAGTAAACCCATAGCTCAAAGGACAGTTTTCTTCTCCAAAGTAAAAGATTTCAAGTATCTCAATTCCCAGAGAGTTGGGGGAAAAAGGAAAAACAAACCAGCAGCCGAGACCATTGTAACTACTACAATCAGCTGTTCCACATTGAAAAACATGTTGTCCTCCATATCCCACTGCTATTAAAAAATGTGCAGCTTGAAATACAATGACTAATTCCACTTTTATAGCCAACTGACTAGAACATCTTTCTAAGATAAAAGAGAGCATTATTGTTCATTTGAACCAAAAATACCCACCGAAAATAAGGAATCTTTGCTATTTTCAAATTAAAAAAATGCAAGCAAGAGCTCTAGGAAAGCTTGAGCATGGAATTGTTTGAAACAACTTTGTTCATAAGAAATACGAAAGCTCCAAACTTTGTCACACAAAGACCAAACTGGCAATTTGTCAGAAGCCAAAGCTGCAGCTAATTATTCTGGATTTGCATAGCTTGTGAAACAAAAATAAATGCATGTCCCCATCAGAGGTACTTGTGATGATTTCCACTTCACTGCACATGTTTTCAATCTTACATTCTTCAAACTAAGCCAAACAGATTTTTCCTGAAAAACAAGGTAAATGGAGATGTTCTCTCTCTCTGTCGCCAGCATACGAAGTCATAAGAAACTGTATACTTTACTGTCCAAAGAAGAACCAACAACTTTCAATTTTAAATCTGGCCCTATGCTAATTTTGGGGATGGAAGGGTGAAACTGAACAAACCCAAGCTTTAATTACAAAAGATCAGAAACAGCTTAACCTTTTAGAAGCCACCCAAAATCCTTCTTTGCTAGACTTCATTATTAAAAAAATTATTGGTTTTTTATCGTATATGTCTCATCAGACAACCTCTGCATAACTTCAGAGCCAGTCTGTCCCTTGAAATGGTGACTGAAGAAATTATTAAGAAATGCTTCAATGTAAGCATTTACTGGCAAGCCGCTCCGATGCCAGTGCAAGAACTGCTCAGCCTCAGCCCTGCCAGCTGCTGCCTGCAGACCACGGCAGATGGGCTTCAGTCACATTTGTCACCTGTTCAGAACATCCTCTGGCCACCAGCTGAAGCCACTCCAACTGAGCGGGCAGCTGCAAGAGGCTGGAAGAGCTGGCAAGAAAAAAAAAAATAGGAGAGGATGACAGAGAACAACTTGGACACCGAGAAAGGCAGCTCCGACTGGCCTGCCTCTTTGCCTCCCTGTAAGGGGAGGTATGTAACAGCCACAGGAACAGCCTGCAGATTAAATGCAGCCGAATCAGTGCTGTCTTTCGCTGGAAGAAAGCCAGCAACACCAGGTCTGCTCACCACCTTCATCTGCTCTCCCCTTCCCGTGGTGCCTCGCAAAACAGCGCGGGGAAGCCCTGGCACTGGGCACCCCTGGCACTGGGCACCCCACAGCCCACCTCCTGCCCTGCGCGGCCCCCGACAGCACTGGGACTGGGACACCAACACCTTCCCTGCAGGAGCTGGGACACATCCTTCTGCCTTCCCTCCTGCAAAACTGGAACAAGAGCACTTCCTCACCTCACAAACAAGTAAGCACCATAATTCAAAAAGCACCCCGATACTGAGGTATTAAGCAAATGACCCGCCACAAGGTAAGAGATATAGCATGGAATTCTGTGAAGAGCCTGTATTTAAAAGACAAGATGACATTTGGGTTTTTTTCTTGCAATATAGCTGCCTCACTGACTTGGATTTAAGCTGCAGAAAGCAAATCCAGATCCAAACCACTGCCGTATCTTAAAGATGCTGGTACTCAGAGTTCCGCCACCGCTCACTGGAAAAATAGAAATGAGCTAACTTGTTCATGCTCCCAAATGTTTCGGTGCAGGCTCAGACGCATACTGTCTTTGGAAAATTCATAACATTGCAAGCTTTTTATTTAATTCATCTACTGTACTGTCTTTCAAACCAGAGAGCTTGATGGATGCTACTCAATTTTATTATATAAGGTCACACATCAGCTCCTGTGCATTGAGTTCACAGTGAATTCTCATTATCTTAGAATTTAATCAGTATTTCTAAAAAAACCCCAATTACTTATCACCACAGAAGTTGAGAGAGTCTTTCTCTGTTTTCAATGCGATGCTTGAATAATGTCTTACTACCGGATAAAGGAGCATGCCTGCTTAGCATCCCACTGCTAGTCCTATTCTTCCATTATTTCTCCTCGGAGGATGTGCATGTTTCCACACTTAATATAAATAGAAAGCTGGAACCACTCCTTCTGCTGTAACTGAAAGTCTGAGACAGGACAAAACACAGAACTTGAACACAAGTCACAGAATGTTAATTGCTGTTTAGCAGCAGCTTGCTGATAGTCTGTACAGCACAATCAGCATTAAGAAAGCAAAATGAGAGGATTTCATCAGCCTAGGTAAAGAACAGAGGACCATCCTAATTCCTCACTGCAGAAAGGAAACAGAAGTCACACAGGTGCTTATTTGAAGACTTCAAAGTCTTCCCCTTAGTAGTAGGAAATTCTTTCCTGCTCCTGTGAAGCATCTTTGGAAAAGAATAATCTGATGTCTGTTCACAGAAGTCAGCACATACCAGCCCATTGTGCTTTGCTGTCTGGAAGCCAGTAACTAAACCTTACTTTCCAACTCATTACTGGAAAGCACATCTACCTTGAGAAAATTTTTGAATTTATGTTAAGAAGAAAATAGATAAACAGCCTGTATGGTTTTTTGTTCTGAGTTGCTTGTCTATTGTCAGATGTAAGAGCTGGTTTCTCTTGAACAGGATAGGTTCTTTGAAGGAGGAGAATGGGAAAGAAATCAAACAAGTGCTGCTGCTTAACACAGGGAAACAATATTCCCTCTGTCAAATAAACTATGTCCACCAGATTGACACAAGACATCCTCCATCTAGAAGCAGGGCTAGTGGGACAGATCTCGCAAAGTGACTCAAGTGAAGCTTCCTAGTGATGTTGGATGGAGAAAGAGCCCATTTCTGACACATTCCTTACTGGTTACAAACACATGCATCAGGATATATGAAGCAACACACAAGTGACAGGTGAGGGGTGATCACACACAGCCACCCATCCCACTGTAGCACAGAGGTAGGCATCAGTGTTGGAGGTGTGCCTTTGGGGCACAAATTCCCAGTATAAGTCAGCCTGACATCTCAACTATGCTGTGAAATTTGAGACCATGAAGTCCTTTTACACAAAGTCCTGTCTAGTTCTGTCCGAATGTTTCCCAAAATGCTCTTCTAGTAAAGAAATCCTTTCCAATCATTTTGTGTCTATCTGACGATTAGCCATTACAGTACACAAACACCAGAAGTCTACCAGGCAACCTGCGCAACGACAGCAACTTCAGTCCACAAGGTAAAATGGGGTTTGCCCCCTGTTCGGCTAATCTGTGCATCACTGAATTCATCTCATGTAAGCATCTTGCTGCTCCAACCTACAGTGAAAGTGCAAGGCACATAGAACAAATGCAGACATTGGATTGTAGTAGACTGGGGTATTATTAAAATAAGTGTCCCCTAGACAGTGACACAAATATAGGCTAGATTTCTCCCTCTGTTGCTTGTGAAGTTGTGCTTCGCAAATGCTGGTTTGTATTTATCCATCTCAATCAAGATGTTCCTATCACAACTGATGAAAGAACCTGCTCCTTAACTCTGAGCAATAGGAGGCACAACTAAGGAAGATGATGCTATAATGGTGAAAGGTTAAATGCAACTAGTAAAGTGTATGCCCTTCTTCCTTGTAATACCATGCAGTTCTGAAACACACACACATACCTGAAAGACATATTCTCCAGTTTTTTTAAGCCTTTTCTGGTAGTGGATTCTTTAAATAAATTGAAAAATCAGGCCATGTTTGTTTTTTTTTTTTTTAAGTGCTTTTCCCCTACTCCCTGCTGGTGCTGAGAAGCACCTTTCACATGGACTTACGAGCAGCCTCAACTATGAGTGGCTAACGCCCAGCTTTCCTCCTCTGTCCTCTCTACTGAGGCAGTTTCATCTCTGCTACTGAGATACAAGAAAGCAAGTGTGAGGGACACACTGACCACCTCAGAGTGCAAAACAAGCACTAGGTGAGCATCAGCAAGAGTGAAACCTATGACACACAGCTCTTCTAAGTATACAAAATAAGCCAGAATGAAAGAGCGTGCTTTCCCTTTGATCTTTTAGGGCTATAGTGCTCTATGTTACAGCTGTCACAGTAACATAATTCCTTCCCCAAGTTGCCATCATCCTTAAGTAACATCTTGGGTGAAATATGACCATTCAAGACCGGGGAAAGAACAAATGTAGCCAACACCTGAACTTATCCGCAGATGGGCTGTAACTCAAAGGCACTTACTATCATTTCTCTGCTCATCAGGTTATGAGAACATTCCTTCTCCTGTTAAACCCGACTGTCTGTGAATGTAATAAACACAGAGTAACACTGCCTAATTAGCTATCAGATCTTATTAATTAACAGGCACAAGGAAAGCCTAACTGCATTCCCACTTTCACCAGGGCACCAGCTGAGTTAAGGCTGGATGGGCTCAACACACACTTCATGAAAACGGGATCCTATTTTCCCAAGAACAGTATATATAGCACAGAATTGAATGGGAAAGAACAAAAAATAATTAAGCCTAGGTCATGCTGACATCTAAATGTCAGCATTTAAAATCAGTAAACCTTCTTCATAAGAATATAAAGGAGAAAAATAAATCAAATATAGTTTTTACTCACCTGTACTACTTCCACTCCTCTTTTCCTGGAAAAGAAAAGAAAAAAAAAAAAAGGAATAGTTAATGTTGGAAACGTGAGCAACGTGAAAACAAACACTAATGGAAAAGGGTTACTTCATACTGGAATGCAAACAATAAAAATCTGCATTGACGAACCTGATTCAAATTCAGGAAAGCACTTCTGCAATTCCATTCCCTGCCTAGGAAACGCTTTGGCAGCTTCTGAAACACAGCCCCAGCAGTGACCCAAGGTGCACGCTCAGGAGCTGCACCGCTGGGACTAATACACTGCCAGGTGAACAGAGGTAGGACATGGGTGATGTTAGGGAGGGAGCATCTCCATTTTAGTCAGTTCTACTTTGCTCTTCATTTCTCATTGAGCAACCTGGTCTAGTGGGAAGTGTCCCTGCCCACGGCAGGGGGGTTGGAACTCAATGATCTTTAAGGTCCCTTCCAAATCTGCCCTCAGAGTGTGAGAATTGCATCACAGTACATTCCATATCCTTGCTAGATCTTTGATTTTGATCCAAAGATAAGGTATAAACATCAGGGAGCATGAACACACAACTTTTCAGCCATTTATCCTCTTATTTACGGCCTTGTTCTACCCCCATCCCCTGAGCACACAGAATATGTTCCAGAGCTACACACATACTGACTTGCATCAGTTGTTCTCTGCTTGAAACCCTCGCCAAGAAACTTTTAAGGTGTCCCATGGCTTGCCTCCATCGCAAGCACAAAGATGCCCACGCAGTCTCCACGGACCAGCTCCGCAAACCGAGCAGGGAAGGGGACGGGCAGAGGTCAGGTCCATAACAGAGAGACTGCCCTGCAGCCGGAGCACCCTGCCCAGATGTGCCATCCCGCTCCGACTCCATCATAGACACATCCCCACAGATCCACTGCTCAAGACAGACAATCCATTCTGGAAGCGGTGCCTCAAAACCACAATTATTTGAAACTCCAGCTGGTGATTGGTACTGCACTGTGTCAGACGGACCGAGCTGTGCTGGCTTCAGCAGAGGCAACAACCCCTACATCATGTAGCTGTGCCCAAAGAAAAGCTAATAAATTATACAAGCAAACATGTACAGATTCAAACCCATAATGCGAGTATTCTCCACCGTCCCAGCTGGAGCAAGCGTCACGCCACAGGCTGGGATGGGACTCTGTGTGTGCGTCTGCCCCTGGTGCTGTGGTTTCCTCTGGGCAGAAAGGGACACGCACCAGGCTATGTGACCAGGGAAGGCAGCACAGTGGGCTGTGACACCCCCTTCTAGACAGCAGGCAGTCTGGGTGTGGGGACACCAGAGAGTGCAATGCCCGTGGTTCAGACATGCCCTTGGACTTCAGTTCGAGGACTTGCAGTCAGTCTGGCTCCTGCAGGAGCAGAGTTCAGAGACTTGGGGTTTGTCAGAGAGGCCCAAGCCCCTGAATGCTGCCTTAGCCATACGGGGACTCGTTCTAGTGATCCCAAAACACCAGGGATCAGAGACTGGAGAGACCTACTAATCTGACACCAAAATGTTGAGAACCGCAACTGGTAGAGCCAATTTAGGCAGATGTCTAGAGATGATCATCTACTCTGCTGGTGTGAGAATTGAGATTCAGGTACCCGCAGCTGGTCAGACAATGCTGGTCACTGAATCTGACAAGTTATCAAGCAAAACAAACCACTTCTGCTCTAGTCTTGAAAGCAGAACTGAACTCCTGGCACAAAGCCCAGCCATCCCAGCTCCATGCCACCCTCCCAACATACGCAGGCTACTTACAGTATGTTAGAACCTTCTCCTCACTTTGAAGACATAGGAAATTTAACTTCAAAATCAAAAGCCTCAGTAAGCACAAGATGGGAATCTCTCCTCCTCGTTCCCACTAACCCCATCTGTGAAAATCAAAGACCCTTTCTGGGGAGGTCACGGAGCAGGACTGCCTAACTCTGCCCTCAATGCTTTTCTATCTAAGAGCGTCTGTGGCGGTGTCCGTAGTCACAACTGCTGCACACTGCTGAATACACAATGGCTCCTCCAGTTTTCCACCCAATACAGTAAGTCTTTCTTTCGGGAGGCCATTACAAAGACGCCCAAAGGGACAGACGATCAATCAGCATCTCTGACACAAATTGCTCCCTTCTTCCACTTTACCAGTCTGGAGTTTCTCTGGCTTAGAAGCACAGCCACAACAGAGAGCTTGTCGTTACTCAGCAAGGAAATTAAAAAGAAAATGAAACCAAGCACCTCTTGCAGAGAATTTCAAAGCCCGCTTGCAGATAACAGTAGCCTGTGAGTGGTGGGTGATTAATATACTGCCATTACAGGCTGGGAAGCTTTGCTGCAGACCATCACCTGAGGCTGGCCAGATGCATTCCAATTGTGCTTTGAGGACAAAATATTACTCTCGTAGAGAAAGAGTTAATACCCAAATTGTTGAAACCATGATTTTCACACAGCTAAGCAAGATAAATAAGAAATATTAGGTGGGGAATGCTTTTTTGTAACTTAGGGCAGCAGCCTACTCAGAAGCATTCCAAGGATCGTAAGCTAAAACTTGAAACAGCCAAACTAGCCACATTTTTGCTCTGTCTGCCCTGGAGTAAACAGAACAACTCAGAACCGCCATTGAAATACACCAGGCTTCAGACAGGACTGCTCCAGAGCCCCTGGAAGAATAGAGGCTGATGGCAAAGGCTGCATTTCTTGCCATGCCTGCATACACACTGAATGGGCTTTGTTCTACTTTGAAGAAGAAAAATACTTGCAAGCTGGATGCCAAACACACTTGAGAAAAAATCAGTCCAAAAGTTTTCTATAATCCCCCAAAAACTGACTTTGTAAATTTACTGGGACTCTACTGAAACCGACAGTACTGCCCCAGCAGAAGGGAAGAAGCCAGAGCCGCGCACGAGCAGGGAGGGAAGGGGTGCCTGCTGTTGGGTGTCATGTCACACGTGCTTAAAAAGGTACAGGAAGGAGAAAGGGATTATCAAGGTCAGCTTGTAGCGCTGGGTCTTCCCCTTTTTCCAGAAGGGACGTGGGTGGGATGGTCCCTTTTGGCTACCTGAGTCATGGGAACTCTTTATACTTAAGCCCAGGGGATGAGAAACCATACAAGCAGGTCTATTTTGAGGATTAGTTAATTTGGTAAGAACCCTCTACCAAAATAGCTTTTCTTGAAAGGAAGTTATTTTAAAAACAAAAGGTATCCAAACAACCAGGGTGTCAAACAACCACGCACCTCAGTTCTGGCATTAGCTGGTTCTCCACCTCCAAGATTTCCTAAGCCTGTGACTGGGCAGGTCAGAGCTGCAGGCTCGGGGCAGGAAGACATCCCTTACGCAAGCAAGACTGCAACACCATCTAACCATCTCACAGGGGAAAGGGCTGAGGGACAGGCATGGAGAGAAAGTGGATCCTGCACACAAGAGACTCTAGGACCCTCAAAAAATAAGCAATCAGAGAGAACAAAGCAGGCTGTGGGCCACAAGCAGTTCCCCAACAAGGGGCTGTCTGTGCAGGACACTCAATGGAGATGAGACGGTGCTGGATTAACTGCTCTGGGAGTCTGAGAGAGCCATGGACCAGCCACCGCTTCTTCCTACAGTGCTTAAAGAGCTAGTAAGAAAAACACAACCTACAGACTCGGTGTAGGCTCTTTGGGGCTGTTTCATTAGCAGAGGACAGGCCTTTTGTTAGCTATGCTGAAACATGCACCACAGATGCACTTAACACACACGGGATACTACAACAAACTCCTCTCCCAACGCAGACCACAGATCCTTGCCTGGGTAGGGGACCACGGCTCAGACACAAGCAGGGAACTGCAAAATCTGCAGACAAGCCAGACAGTTAAAAACAATTAAGAGAGGGATGCAAGAACCTGTCCAGGCGAGGTGGAATGCTTCCAGAGGTACCAATGCCTACGTCAAAGGTGCTGTCTCCCATGGGGGGCTATTTGACTTCAGTACTGACCACTACTCTTGTGTCCCTCATGGCATTGTATAGGACCCTTCTTTCTTCCCATGTAGCTTGAAACTGAGTCACAGTCTACTAGAGGAAGGGCTGACATTCCCAGCTGGCCTGACTGCCTCCTGGTATCGGCAATAGACTATACAAAACCAACAGCAAGTCTCTTTCTCTGAGGGGAAAAGAAATATCATAATTAGCTGTATTTCCCTTCTCTCTCCAAAGAGGCAACGCAACTGGGTCAAAGAGAGACTGGATCTGCCTGCTTCCATTGAACAGATGCTTGAAAAATGGTCAATTCTAAACTATTTTCCCAGAGGTCACTATTTTTAAAATATATTTCATTCCAAAGATCATGTAGACAGGGATCTTGTACTCCAATCATCAGCCCGGGGCGAGGGGGGAAGAAAAGAAAAAAAAAAATATTAACAAATGTTAGAAAACCTCTGGGAGAAAAGAGAAGGTGGAAAAGTGTTTGAAGGTGATAGAACTAAACATAGAATCACGGAATGGTTAGAATTGGAAGGGACCTTAAAGATCATCCAGTTCCAAGCCCCTGCCATGGGCAGGGACACCTCCCACTAGACCACGTTGCTCAAAGCCCCATCCAGCCTGATCTTGAACACTTCCAGGGATGGGGCAGCCACAACTTCCCTGGGCAACCTGTTCCAGTGTCTCATCACCCTTATGGTAAATAATTTCTTTCTAGTATCTAAGTAATCTAAGTCTCCCTTCTTTCAATTTAAAACAGTTATCCCTCGTCCTAACATCTAACAGCAAGGCTTCAATGTCTTCAACTGGCATGGTATGCTCAAAGCTATGGAAACCTACTCAGGCACAGCACAAATTACTGACTGGTGCTTCGTGTATTCCCTTCCTTCAGCACACAGCTCTGCTAAATCACACATTTTAACATTTAAAGGAAAAACAAAAACATTTCAGTAACAGCTGCATCAGCCTGCAATACCAAATAAAACCCAGAATCCTGTTATGACTTACCAGTTCTATACTTGAAACCAGTAAACAACTCTACTGGTTAATGCAAGCCTTACCATATGCAATAG